TTAGCTAAATTACATTACATTTTAAAGACCCAATTAGTTGGATCTGGGAAACCAGTGAAAAGTCAAGTCCTATCGTGGTTTTTCATTACTCCACCAAGTGCAGCTCCCACAATTGCTTATCACTGGAATGTCCAAACACAAAGGGCAGATGTTTTATTTCAATGTCATCATTTGGATAATCAGATGTCATTTCTGAGATGTGTGTGGCGTGGCCACGGCTGTTTGACTATTGGAGCAGAGAAGAGAGAAGATATGAGGGAATCATATTTTAAGAGTTTAAGGAATGTGTTTTGAAACTACACATTCCAATGAAGTCTTGGGTCATGATGGGGAGACCAAAATGACAATTAATGCGTTGAGATGGACTTTACTTGGAAAGGGACAATGGGATACTCAAGAAAGAGGGCCAGCAACTCCTGCTGGTTGAAAAGGCATCCAGCTTCTCACTTGTTGGGTAACTCTCACGGGGGAGCCATGCTGCAGAAAGACCATTAAAGGGACTTTTCCCAGCAGACACCTTCACAGCCCTGGCCCCTCCTGTCAGCCTCATCTCAGGTCTGGAGAATACTAGTTGAAGTTAACAAACCCGGTGTGGCGCAGCGGTCCCCTGCACAGGGCATGCATATTAAAGCCGACAATGCTTACAAATGTAAATAAGGGCAGATTGATTAGGAACAACATTATCACTGGGAATGTCGAACTCACATGCATCAGCAATGAGGCAAATTGGGGGCAGGCTCAGCCCTGACCACCCAAGTCGAGCAGGCTTTTACACTGGCTCCTCTTCCCTTTCTTAAAACGTTACAGAAACAAGGCCAATTAGATCCTCAAAGTAATTCATCTCTGTGTATGAAAAAAGCAGACCACAGGGGAAGCGGCGGGTGGGGGTGGGGAGATTAAGATAGCGCTTGTTAGAGCCCAGGCTGGGGATTGCGTCCTGGAACCGATGGGTAGAATTTACAGGCCGAGAGCATTGTCTGAAATGCTGAAAAGTTAACCTATCAAACAGCGGGTGAGGGAGCTCAGGGAGCTGAAAACCCCTGAGATCAATGTTCAAAACGTTTAGGAATTAAGTCAAACCCAGGGAAATGAGCCCGAGTGGAAGAGGCTTTGCCATTGAAATGGTGCACATGTAGCAGCGCCAAAACAAGAGGATATGCAGCTGCGTGCGGAGAGTAATAGGGAACCATTATGTGTAAATAGCCTATAATTTCATTTTAGAATTCCATAATCTAAGTAGCTATACTAAAATTACTATAAATAAAAGATTGGGTGGAAAAACTAATATTTTGGTCTAAAACGTTGTAAAGAATTTTGTACAGACACAGCACCCTGCCTATAGCTACATGGTTACCTTTGCTATACAGCACGCCTCAAATATAAAAAGACTGACGTGTCTTTTTAGGGATTCCACCCCCAATCTTTAAAAATTAATTTCCAGCGGCAAAGCACAAAATGGTTTGACTTGAAACGTCTGTAGAACCTTTCAGTGAGAAAAACCAGAATAAAAAATCACGTTTCCTGATTTATACTATTTACCAAACATAATGAAGACCAGGATATTGCTCAAAGATTAAGCTTGCTCTGTGTCGAGCCCAATATTCCTGCGATATTATTTATTAACCTACTGTCATTTTAAATGCACGCTGCTTGTCTTCCCTTCTGCATTTTCGCAGCCCTTCCCAGAGCCGCGCACAAAATCACGTGCTCCTTCGTAGTTTGAGTTTTGAATTTCCGCGCTGGCCGGGTACTCCGGTCCTCCTCCTGATCTCGTGAACACCCCCAGACACTTCTATTCTCTTTGTCTCTTTATTCTGCAGGACACCCTACCCTGCCCAGGGTACTGCACACGTTTTGCCGGTTTGGGATTCAGAGGGCAGGGCCTCCCAGTGAAACCAGGAAGGAGAAAAAGCTAGAGGGAAGGTGGCGAGGCTGGTAGGGAGGAGAGAGATGGGGGAGAAAAGGGGTGAAAGAGGAAGGAGAAAGGAAAGGGGAGACTGAAAGAAGGAGGCAGGGGTAAGCCGCCGAAGAGAAAGTAAGGCGGCGGGGAGGGCTGGCCGACAGACCCCCTGCGGGAGCCGCGTGGGTCGCCCGGGTGGCCGGCGCGCCCGGCTGCAGTCCCTTTCGGTAGAGGGCAGCTAAATGGTAAGGGACCCGAGCGCTCAGCGATTGGCCGGCCGCGGGGAGGCCGCGCAGGCATTGGGTAACGTAAGGGGGCCGACCGCCTTCAGGAATGTACTACGGCGCGTCCGGCACGTCCGTCCGCGCCGGCGGGGAGTGCGCCTCGCCTGGGCTCCCAGGAGCCAGCGCTGGAGACTTGGAGCCCGCCTGGCGCTAGCCGAGCGCAACGACTTCCCTACCTGCTTGACCAGGGCTGCGCGGGCGTGGGGAGTCCGGAGCTCCGGCGCGCGCGCAAGCGGGCGCACTCGGACACGCGCGCGCGTTAATAGGCCTCCGTGCCCTAGAGCGCGCGCCGGCCGGGCCCTGGGTCACGTGGTCGCACGGGCTCCGCCTTCTCCCCCGCTCCTCCCCCTTTCCCTCCATCTGGGTTTCTTTCTTTCCTTTCCTTTCTTTCTTTTTTTTCAATGAACACACACCGTGTGCATCTTAAAGCCACACTGCCCCATTTCACGGCTTCAGTCAGCTACTTGCTGCCGAGAGTCCCTCTGCAGTTCAACCCAATTTTTAAAAAAGAAGAAAAGGAAAAAAATACTAAAACGAGACAGAATCGAGGGTTTGTGGATCTGGTCCCCATCTCAGGGAGGAACTTAACTTGCAAAAGAAAATTACTCTCAAAAAAAATTTTTTTTACGTAAAAGTCGGAGCTGTGTATACAGTTTAATTTGTCTCTGGCCCCAGGATCCACCTCAGAGTCGCGTGTTTTCTTCTCCAGGGGAAGCGAATCCCCGGCATGTCTCGGTGACACTGGCTGCAGTGTCCGGACAAGTCCTAGCAATCAGCGCACAATTTGTTTCAAATGAATCCAGCATCAAAGCCTTTATTCTCCTTTATGTCACGCTACTATTAAATATAACACGATGCGTACCAGTTTGGGGAGGGAACGTTTAAAACAGACTTTAAATAAATAGGGACTTGTGGTTAATTAAAAGGGGGGGGGTCCAAATGAATCCAAAATAAAACTTTTCTCTTTCTAGAGAAAACATTTCTGTTTCTCCGGGTTGTTAAAAGGATTCTGTTGTTTCTCCTTTACCTATGTCGCATTAAAGGTTCAAATAAAAACTCCTCTGCCTCCACGAGACTACTTCGGTGTCTGGATTCCACGTTTATAAAACACTGACTCCTTCAAACCAGGGCTGTGCTGCCGAGGGGTTTTGAGAGGGAAAGGGGCGGGGCGGGGGGGAGCGAACTTTAAGAAAGGTGGCTTTTCCCAATGTCCCTACTTTCCTCTTTAACTTTCCATTTTGTTTATCTTAATGCGAGTCGTTGTTCCCTGCAAGAGCCTAAGTCTTCTCTTTGGTTATAAAAGAAAAGAGAGAAGGGAAAAAAAAAAAAAATCTGGCACACACTGGCGCACTATCCACCACCCTGTCATTATTGGTGCAGGCCTGGGAATTCAAGCCGGACCTCCCAGTATTTGCTGCAGCTTGAGGCCAAGGTGCCTCTGAAAGGGTTTTCTTTGAGGAATTTCTGAAATTGTTTAAGCGCTTAAAAAAATTACATTTTCCCCCGTGTCTATCGCGAGGCAAATGCTCGTGGGTGTCTGTGTGTGTGCGCGCGCAAAAAGCATCTTACAAAAAGAAGACACTGTTGAAAAGAAAAGGAATAAGAAAGAAAGGGAGGGGGAGCATTCCTTAATGGAAGTATTGCATGCGAGAAGGTTGGCGCTCTCGGAGGCTCCCCCCGAAGCCGGGGATGCACACACTGGGGTTGCCTACCTGGGTGGTCTCTCTACTTTGGTGAGCTGTTGCTAAGCAGCTAATAATAGTCATGTTTGCTGAGTAATTTCTGCCCTCCGCGAGCCAATCATGTTGCAGAAACCCAAGCCATCTGACAGCCCCGGGGGCGGGAGCTCCAGCCTTTTTCTCTTTCGCTCTCTCTCTCCCCCTCCACCCCCTCCCCTCCTCCTCCTCTTTCTCCAAATGGAGAGAGTTCTTTTTTTTCTTCTTCCATCTCATCTATTGAATCAAGGAGCTGCTGCGGCCGCTGCCCGCTGCACACACACAGAGCGGAGTCCCCAGGTCCCGGGAGCGAGAGAGGCGCGCTGCACTGGGGCAGAATGGTCCAGCGGGACAGCGAGGAGCACAAGAAAGCAGAGTCCGGGACCAAGCAGCTACCGAGAACCCAGCAGCCAGAGCCCAAGCAGCCCGAGCAGTCCGAGCAGCAGCTTCAGGAGCCGCCACCGCCAGCAGCAGCTGCCGCAGGAGCAGCGGCGGCGGCGGCGGCTGCCCCGGCCCGGCAGCGCTGAGACCCACCGGGCGCCCACGGACCCCGCGGCGGCGGCTCTGCGCTTACCTTCCGCGGCCGCTCGGGCGACCCGTGAGACGCCGAGAGAGTCAGCGAGGCCGGCGGGAGCGGCGGGGATTTGCTGGCGCTTTCTGCAGTGAAGGGGTCGCGGCGCGGGGCGGGGGACGGGTAGGGGGAGTTGGGGACAGCGAGGAGCGCCGCGCGAGCGCCCGAAGGACAGGCTGGCTCCACGCGCCGGCTCTCGCTCTCCGGAGAACTGGATGTGGGCAGCGGCAGCCGCAGAGACCTCGGGACCCCCGCGCAATGTGGCAATGGAAGGCGCAGGGTCTGACTCCCCGGCAGCGGCCGCGGCCGCAGCGGCAGCAGCGCCCGCAGTGTGAGCAGCAGCAGCGGCGGCGGCGGCAGCAGCAGCAGCAGCAGCAGCAGCAGCAGGTCTGTCAACCGGAGCCCCAGCCCGAACAGCCGGCGGCCAGCAGCGTCCTCGCAAGCCGAGCGCCCAGGCGAGCCAGGAGCCCGCAGCGGCGGCAGGAGCGCGCCGGGCCGCCCGGGAAGCCTCGGTTCCCGCGGCGGCGGCGGCGGCGGCGGCGGCGGCGGCGGCGGCAACATGGCCTCGGCTGGTAACGCTGCCGAGCCCCAGGACCGCGGCGGCGGCGGCAGCTGCAGCGGGACCCCGGGCCGGCCGGCCGGTGGCGGGAGGCGCAGAAGGACCGGGGGGCTGCGCCGCAACGCCGCGCCGGACTGGGACTATCTGCACCGGCCCAGCTACTGCGACGCCGCCTTCGCTCTGGAGCAGATTTCCAAGGTGCATTTCAGACTCTCTCCTCTCCTCCCACTCTCTCTTCCCTCCTCTTCCTCTTTGGGATCGTCCCCGCCACACACACACACACACACACACACACACACACACACACACACATACACACACCCCTTTCCAGGAAAAAAAACCAGACAAGTGGGGATTGAAAAATTCAAACCCTCCCTCCGGTCCTGGGAGGAAAGGGCTGTCTGAAGTCCGCAGGGGGTGGGGGGTGGAGGGTGTGTGTGTGTGTGTGCGTGTGTGTGCACGCGCCCTCCCCGGCGTGCCTTTTCCGGAGCACTGGGAAGAGGTCCACAGTGGACCACCTCCAGGGCCGCCGCAGCGCGGCACTGCCCTGTGCCCCCTGCTCCTGAGCCCCCTACTCCCGCGCCCCTGCCCCTATTTGCAGCCTAAACCCCTGTAATACTGCCACATTTCTTGACCTCTTGGAGGGGGAGGCGGAGTGGAGCGAGGCGGGGGGAGAGGGAGCCGAAATAAAGGTGGTTTCCTTTTTTGGCAGCCGGTTTTGCTTTTGTTGAGCATGAAATCTCTGCTCCCTTAAAAATTATCCTCGCAAGAGGGTATCTCCCCTCTTCTTTTCCAGTTTTTGAGCCACTTCTTCTCAGAGCCTGTGGGGAAAGGGAAAGTTGTAAACAAATTGCCACCTTAAATCCGCGGTGCGGGTCTGCCGAGCGGCCGGGTTCATTGTGTTTACGAGGTTCGCTGAAATGTGTGGAATCCGGGGAAGGCGAGCACCCAGACAGGGGCCGGCCGGGGCCGCGGCCAGCGCCGGGGAAACGCCACCGCCGGGAGCAGCCAGCGCCCAGCCAGGACCCCCGCCTGCGTCGGCCCAGGCTCTTCCCCTGTGCATTCTGCTGCTTTTCACGTTTAACCAGAAGGGAAGGGAGAGGAGGGAAAGATCCATGTGGCTGCCCTCTTCCGATCACAAATATTGTCGTAAGTTGCAGATGGCTGCCCCACTTCCTAATTCAGCTCACACGGCGTCTCCCAACGCTATGGAAATACGTCGCGAGTGAGCTCCGGCGCCCACGCTCACCACGTGTATCCCAATTTACTACCACGTCGGGCGGGGGATCAGGATGCGGGAGCCCGCCAAACATTGTTCCCAAAGTGCTCTCGTCCACCAGCCTCTGTCCTCGCCGGAGCACCCCGAGAAGGGTGAAGGCTGGGGCAGGACTTGCAGGGAAGGGCGCCGTGGTTTGCTGGTTCTTAAACATTGGGCTCCATCGCGGGGTTTACGCAGACCCTCCCTTCCCAGGTTGGTGTGAATATTGCCTGTGTTGAATGGTGCCTCTCCTCTTTGCCTCGGCTTCCCCTTGTTCTTGCAGCCCCTCCTCCCAGACCTCCAAGTCACACTCGGGGATGCTACGAAGGCCGCGCGTGGGGGCGCCCCTGCTGTGACCAAGGTGCAGCTGCCACGCTGCAGCCTGACTTTGATTTAAGACCAGGCCCCCCCACGCCGCTCGTGTTTCCTTGGGCCGACCTGGGGTCCAGCCCAAAGGGCACCCCTCACGGCTGTCGCGGGATGCCGGGCGGGTGCGCGGAAGCTGGCGTGGGCGCGCGGGCCGCGACTCCCCGGCGCTCACTCCTCCTTTCTGCTTCATCCTCAGGGGAAAGCTACTGGCCGGAAAGCGCCGCTGTGGCTGAGAGCGAAGTTTCAGAGACTCCTATTTAAACTGGGTTGTTACATTCAAAAAAACTGCGGCAAGTTCTTGGTTGTAGGCCTCCTCATATTTGGGGCCTTCGCTGTGGGATTAAAGGCAGCTAATCTCGAGACCAACGTGGAGGAGCTGTGGGTGGAAGGTAAGAGATCCAGCGCCCGCCGCAGCGCCCTCTCGTCCCCCACCCCGGGCCCCCTGCCCTTCCTTCCAATTGATGAAGATATTTGCCAGCATACACCTAGATCCTTTCTGTGAAGAGCGAAAACCCCCTGCCCGCAACAGGGGGAATTGTTTATTGTTTGGGCGCCTGGCCGGGAGCCAGGCCCGCCCGACAAAGGCCGCGCTGTAATCTACTCGGGGCGCTGCGCTTTGCGAGGTGTTGTGGGAGAGAGTGGCGAGGGCGGGCCGGCGGGGGCGCGGGGGCCCCTCCGCGGGACAGACCACTCCGCAAGGCCAGGGGGCCCCCAGGTCCCGCCGCCACCGCCGCTCGCTTCCGCCGCGCGCCGAGACGCGGCCAGAGGAAGGCCTCTCGACTCCGGGCTGTACTCCTCGGTTTCCTTCCCTCCCCCACCCCCACCCACCGCGTCCAAAGAGAAAGGAGGGCGGGGGGGGGGGCAGAGAGAGGCCACCCCTCCGGCTGGAGGGAGTGTGCGCGCCCCCGGCGGCCGCGACCGCCGTGCGGAGGGCGGGGGGCGGGCACAGCGCGGGCCTGCGGAGGCGGCGGCGTGTGTGGTCCTGTTTTTGGACAGCTTTCAACTCTTGGGGAAAAAAACATTTGTCTCAAGGTACAAAAAAAGGGGGGGTGGGGGGAAAGGAGTTGGAAAAAAAGCAGTAAAGCACAGACTAGAACGCTTGTTTGCAAAGTAGATTAATGTTTCCTCGCGGGTGGGGGCTTTTAAAATGGAATTATGCTGGGGGAAGGCTGCGTTTTAGAGGCTGAAAGAATAAATGTGTTTTAAGAAAGCGGGTTTGGAGGGAGGGGCCGCAGGAGCTCTCCTAGGGGTTATGCTAGTCTTTTATCCACATTCCTCAATTTGGGGGTTCTTGAACCCTTTTTTTAAGTGGTTGTAAATTTAAAATAGATCACACCTCCCACCCCTGACACCCCAGACGGAAACATTTTACATTTTTTTTTTTCTGGTGACTCTCTTAATTCAGGGGTTTTGTTTTAGGAGCGGTTGTTTTTATTTTCTGTTCGTTGTTTTTTTATTGTTTTTGGAAAGTAGCAGAGTTGCTGTTTGGAAACATTTTAACCCCTAAACACTGCTTAGGGAATCTCTTACGATGAGCTGGGAGGGAAGGATTGCCGTAATTATGTAGATATTTCACACCAGAATATCTGAGGCATTCCTAGTGAAAGCTATCTAAGACAGAATTTGGAAGCCTAAGAGTTGCATGCATAATTGCATAATTGATCCCTCTCAATGCTGCTGGAGAACTAACCTTGGAGAATATTTTGTTAATCTTGCCTTGTTTGTGAAGATTCAGCTTTCAGTGTTTTGCAAGAATATGGTGGTGTCTTCCGTTGAGTAGTAACAAAATAATAGTTCAAATAATTAAGACCAGAAAACATTCTTGCCTTAAGAAGCTTGGTAATTAATACAAGTGTTCTTTGGATTGAATCCATGGGGTAATTTACCTCAACTCAGCACCTCATTGTCATTGATAGATAAGGAAGGGTTTTAATAAGCACCTGTGATGTCCTAGCTGCAAGTTTACTGAGCATCTATAATGGCCCTAGCACTGTCCAGGCACTGTAAGTGACACTAAAGATGTGAGGCACTCCAAGCGCACAAATTCATGCACTTCAAACTACTAGAGTTGAATGTCAGACTTGCACTAAATTTGAGCTCACAATTGCAGTAAGCCATGAAAGTTAAATGGAAAAAGGAAGAAGCTTCCATGGAAGTGGTGAGGCAAATTGGAGCGACCTACAGAGTGGAGGAGGGAGGGAGTTGTAGGCAAGAGCTCAGGAAGGGGGTCAAGCAAAGGCCCAAGCTTGAGTGGACAGCCGGCAGTGGGAGATCCCCAGTGTGGCAGGGATAGGGTGCAGTGGCTCCATTGGGCCCTGGGCAGCAGGTTGGGCCCTGGACCGCAGGACTGCAGTTTGGAAACGATGTGATTGACTAGACTGTGGGGAGCTACCACAGGTTCTAAGACAGAGCAGGTGATGAGCAAAGGGGGCTCCCAGCTCTCTCCAAATGTTCACTTTCTGCTACTTGGGCCAACAGATTTGTTGGGTGTCATGATGATGACAAAAGACTGTATCTTGTTTTGAGCAAGACTTTTCAGTAGATTGTTAATAAGTTTAAAGAGAACGAATGTAAAAAAAAAAGAGAGCTAATGTAACTTATTTATGTAACACTTTATAAATATTTCTAGAATTAACTATGTTTTTGCATTACACAACTCACGTCAAGTCCCGGAAGGAGAAACCTGCTTATTAGCTTTCTCACCTGGGCTCTAGCTTAGTGACTGAGTGTTGGGGAGTGACACACCTGAGATAAGACTCATTTTGCCTACTTTGGGCCTCTGAGCTATTTTCCTTCCCGTTCTGTTTTGCCAGTTTCAGTGTGGCACACTGGTTCTTTGGCCAAGTATTATTTACTCAATACTATCACTTGTTGAGCAGCTACCCTTACCATTTATTATATATCATGACATGCCTTACCACTCAGTAAAGTAGCTATCTATTATTATTTTTATTTTTATAACGTGATAACCTTTGTAGCATTTTTAACTTGTAAGTGAATTATTGTCCCATTTTACAAATGAGAAGCTATGGATCCTCTATGTCTCCATGTCCACTTTGCCTACTAGTGACTTAAGTAAACCTGGTCTCCTGTTGCCCTGACCTTGATTTCTCATTCATTCATTCATTCATTGCATGCTAGGTTCTTCCCCTGTAGAAGAAGCGACAGTTTTATAAATGCAAGTGAACCCAACCAGGGAGGCCACCATACCATTTTATAATTTTAATTTAAATTCAGAGTAGAGGTAACAATGAGGAAGTCTTGTTCCTGACATAGTGAGCTTAGTGTTCTTGTTAACAGCAAGTAGTGGAAGCATTTACTTTTCAGAGTAAGAATGCTCTGCTATCCTAGACTTTAGTAGAGTAGAATGAGAAGCAATGTGGAATTTAGGTTCATTGTGTACTTTAACGTCAGATAAATTCTTCATCGCTATCAGCAAAGAAGTCTGTTAGATGGTCTTTTCTTAATAGAGACTGCAGATGTTCTGGACATAAACACGTGTGGTTGCTACACTAAAGAAACCAAATGCATAGAGGTTGGATATTTCCTTAGTTAAAAAGCAACAGAAGAAAGGAAAGCATAAGAGATTTTAAGGGGAGAGAATGCTGAGGGACAGACAGTTTGGAAAATGTTATTTCTCCTGTGGGTAAAAAATTGACATACATATACACAAACACAAAGGCAACTGTGTACATCTATACCCAGATACATTCAGAGGACTTCCACCCACCGGACACACAGACAAGTGGCAGGATGGCAGGGGCACCTTCCAGGACAGCCCTGAGGGAGGGTGACTGAGTCAGGACCAGGGCTGGAGAGGTGAGGGTGGTGGGGCATTCCAGGCCAAAGGAACAGCCTGGGCAAAGGCACAGAGGACAGGGGTGTGGCCTCTGGGAGAACTCCCAGTGCTTGCCTTTGGTTGGGGCATCAGGTTTGATGTGGAAAGCCTTGAGGCTTGGAAGGTCCAGATGCATAGCAGGAAGGTCTCTGATGTGTGCAGGGTGTTTGGCTGAGGGGGCTGCCAGCTCTTCCTTTTAGCCATTCTTTGTCTGCCTCAAGATTTACACTGGTGTTTTTGGCCTCCAGCGCCCTCCCTGGTACCAGAGTGCTTCTCATCCTTTTGGGCATAGAAGGGAAATGCCTTCTTTTTAACCTTGCCCATTTCTCTGTTGGCTTTTCATTTTTTGCTTAGCACTTTTATGCTTCTGCCTCACTGAATATCTGCCCCCCACTCCAGCCCTCTCTCAGACACAAGTTTATTGTCATGATTCTCCAGTGACAGAATGTTCATTTATCTTTTTGAGCTTTTTGGTTTTATTCTCAAAGCTTGCCCAGCCCCCAGCCTCCTTTACTGCAAAAACTAACAGCCTTGAAATGAATCCATATTGCCTTGTGTTTGGTTATTAACATCTCTGGAGGCCAGTATCAAGAGAGGACACAAATTGTGACTGATTGTTTTTTTAAGGGAAATGGTAAGTTTTGTTAAAAAATGCTTGATGTTTCTAAGTGCTCTCGAGTTTGTAGCTAGAGTTTGTAGTTGCTAACATAAGCCTTCGGTGTTCTTGGCTCCAAGTCAGGCAGTTAGAGGAGATAATTGAGCTTCACCATCCTTTTCAGTTTAGAGCAAGGTTTCTCACTATTGACATTTTGGGCTGGATAATTCTCTGTTGTGGGAGCTGTCCTGTGCATTGTAGGATGTTTAGTAGCATCCCTGGATTCTACCCACTAGATGCCAGTAGCACTCTCCCAGTTGTGACAGCATGTTCTAGTCGTTGTCAAATGTGTGGGGGGGCGGCAGTGCAAAATTGCCCCAGTTGAGAACCACTGGTTTAGATAATAGATTTCAATTGGAAGCCCCATGCTGTGCAGATGGAAGGCTTTTATTATGACAGAGTTGTGACTGCTAAAGCATTGCTATAAATGCAAAAGTTTTATTTTCAAAATACCCCTCCCTCCCCATCCCGGTATTTACTGACCCAGGTAACTAACTTTTTTCATGCAAATAATTTAAATTTTTGATGATTCGTAGAATTACATTACATAGCAAATAAAAACATCATGAAGTTGAGAGAGAGTGGGTGGGGGTAGGCATAGAAGAAAGGAGAAGTGTTATATTCGAATACTTTTTATTCCTTTTCCTTCAGGTAACTTAATTTTGCAGATAGACTTCGGTGCATTTCAAACACAGTAGGCTGAAGGTTTTTAGCATGAACGTGACTTTGTAAAAAGCGATAAAAGACACCACTGGACTTTGTTCATACTGTAGTAACGGCTCCTTTCCGAAGCCCACGTAGGACATTGGCTCTTTGGTGGTCTAGTTCTCCAGATGTTCCTGTCACACACCGCTTTTCCCCAGGTGCTTGCTCTTATGCAGCAGAACCAAAGAGAC